ACCCCGCACAACATGATCTACTCGACCACCATATGTTTACCGCCAAAAAAAAAAAACGAAGGTAAAAAAAAAAAGGTAACCTGGTTGCCGAGTTCACGAAGTGAATTGGCTTGTTTTACAACGTCGTTGCCAAGCGACGAAAACCCAACCCCGATGGCAAAACACCGGGGGGGGCGGCTTGTTTTACAACGTCGTTGCCAAGCGACGAAAACCCAACCCCGATGGCAAAACACCGGGGGGGGCTTGGACCTTGGGGGGGGGGGAAACAGACGCCGTATAAAGAAGAACCCAACAACTCATGTTCGTGTGCGTCGGAGGATGGGAGGTTCGGTAGAGGATTGCGCAGGCGTAAGACGACCACACAAGCCAGTCGAGCATACAGGGCCTAGAAGGAGCAAAGAGATTAGGTGGAGGGCGAGTTTGGTCGCTATTTGGAGGCGTCCACTTGGCCATGCACCTCTGTTGAACTAACGAACGAACGAACGAGCCCGCCAAGAGCGGTGGGAAGAAATGATCGGCTGACACCAGCAAAAGGACAAGGGGAAAGGGCCAAATTGTAGGGAGCGGAGGAAACGGGAGGGGAGACAAGTAATCAAAATGCACACGCAGCAGCTACATTACACACTAGGACTCTAAACGACAATGTATAATTTGTGATGGTACAGTACGCAGAGAGTTGATCACTCACCTTGTTGAAGAGCCTGTTGAAGAAGAGGACGGGTCTCGCCTCGCGCATCTGGAGGAAATACCAAAGGAACAAGATATCAACGATGCAGCAAAACCGAACGTCGAAACACGCAAGGCTATTGAAGAAGTTGTAGTCATATGGCGGGGTGTGTCGCAGCTTTCGATCGAGACGTGTGGTTGGCTACAACCACAATCGAAACATACGCTCCACGAGCAACAGCGGTGCTGCCGCTCATCGTTGTCACGCCTGTTCGGCACCACGGTTGCTCAAATCGTCCTCGTCGCATTTGAAGCGAACGACGCTCCCGAACCGCCATCAAACACTCAAGCAAAGAGGGCCAAACATTGTTAGTAGGACCCATTGGAGAGGACGGGCACACAACCCCCCCGCGCCGTATATCCTTGTCAAACCTAAAAAATGAATACTGTTACCTTATGGAAGTCCAGAGCCACCTGGCCATCCACGCCGATGCCGAGGTAGTTGTTCATGATGAGTTGGCGGTCCTTCTGGCCCTTGCGGAACCCCTTGCTTGTGGTCACCACCGACACCGACCACCTGTCCAGCATCGTCACCTGCGAACCCAGAGCCAAAAAACGGCAATCGTGTCAGGGAGTTTTGGTCCTGGATCTTGCCATTCCATCTGGATTACTTCCCCTACGAGCGATTTCACTCAATTCTTCTTCAATTACCTAGAGGTGACGTAAGATATCACACCCCCTGGACCGATTTTCAAAGCTCGAGTGCTCCACAGCAAAAAGAGCGGTGGGGCCGAAAATGGCGGCATTGGAACCGCTTCGTCGGGAGACGTTGGAGCTGTCTCGTCGACAGCGTTCCGAAAACGTAATATTTCAGCCACGCATCCTCTTCGTGGAGCAATCGAGTTGCGAAAATCGGTTCAGGGGGTGCGGTATCTTATGTCATATCATGTCACCTACGGGAATTCTCGAACCGACCTGCTCCTGGCATAACGCCAACCGGGCGGACGGTCGGATTCTTCCTTGGTCGGAAGGCGAGACCGATCAGACTTCAAGCCGCCAAAACGCCCCTATGACGCCCCCCCCGGTGTTTACCATCGGGGTTGGGTTTTCGTCGCTTGGCAACGACGTTGTAAAACAAGCCAATTCACTTCGTGAACTCGGCAACCAGGTTACCGTTTTTATTTTTTTACCTCCAGTTTTTTTTTTGGCGGTAAACATAATGATGGTCGAGTAGATCATGTTGTGCGGGGTGGAGAACCCTCACTCCGCGCAAGGGGGATGATCGCACCACGTTGTGTT